GACCCGTTTCGCGGTGGATTCGCACGGCGAGAACACAGCGAAGCGATCGACGTAGGCGGCGGCGGCGACGCCGGCGCGGTTGTCGAGTACAGGCGGAACCTGCCCATCCTGTATCGCCTGACTATATTGGGCCCCATGCATCCTGGAGATGCTGCCCGACTACAGCATGGCGCAAATGCGTTGCCCAGCCCCACCCCATCGGGAGCACAACTAGACATGGTGAAATTGGGTTGCCAGGCGCAGGGTGCACCCCATCAATCGCGGACCCCAACCAGGTCACAGGAGATCGCAGGGAGGCTGGACTACTCGTCGAGACCTGGGGGGACCCGCAGAGGATAAAATGCACAACTTAAGCCGCCGCGTGCTGCGAGAGCCCCCATCGCGCCCCTTTTGGAAACCTGCGAAGGCCGACGGAGTGGGCAGACTAACTGAGGCCGCCTCCTGAAAATGACAGTTACAGACGCGCGCGCCAAGAATAATGCGAAGCTGGCCGTTTCGTTTCGTCGCAAATAAATATGCTAAGAATCCCGGGCTGGGGGGCCTCGCGACGCCAAGACAACATCCCACACTGGTGGAGCTGAAGCAACATGTATCTCATGCGGTAATGAGAACGCTAGGCAGGGTCAACGTACGGACCGTTCAAACCGAGCGAACGGCGCTGTTCCTCTGCTACACCAACCGGCAGATGCAAATTATCACGCCAAGAGCTTAGCCATTCACAATCGACCAACGACAGACCAAATGCCACAGGCGTGGAACCGAACCGACCTCTGGCCATGCCGCGAGGTGGCTTGCATCTGGCATGCGGGGGGAGCTATCCGAAGAGATCGCTGACCCGGCAAGAAACTCGCGGAGGACTTCCTTGCTCGCTAACTCGGCCGGCTGGGCCCCCACCTGCTGGAAACAACCGGAAGCGCTGCTATGAATTGAGAGAGTGGGAGGAAGGGCCAGGAGGGCTGCCACAGGAGGCTCGCGGGAACCCGTGCAGCTGGTCCAGGCTACAAATGGCGGCGTCAGCCTAGTCCAACAAGCGCGCACGGCGGCGCACCCTCTGCGTATCTGCATGACAAACCGCGCCCTGACAAACGAATAGCGAACGACGGTCAAGCGGCGGCAACGGAAACGCACCCCTCTGGCGGTCGGCCCTCGGCGGCACAGCCCGCGAAGGAGATGCAGGTGGAAGGGGCAGGGGCCGCACTGAGCGGCTCTGAAGACAGCAATCCAGCGCCCCCCCCCCCCCCCGCCCCTGGCAGCGCTCTGGATCGGGCGCCAATGTTTCGCATTGCCCTTGCGGGCCGCTTTTCTTTCTTCTCTGGCTTCCCGACGCCCCTTGCCCAGCTCGTGCTCACGCGAGGGCTCTTTCGCGACGCGCTCCGTGAGCTCTCAGGGCAGACGCGTGCCCTCCGTAATGCGAGTGCGAGTCTCCGACGGCGTCCACCTCGTGGCCGCTCAGCCGCTCACGCCAGCGCTCCTCCTGCACCTGCAAAGAGCGGGCCATGTCTCTGCCGCGGCGCTGTTCGGCATATTGATGTGGTCGTAGAAAGCCATTGTCTCGAGCTGCCAGCAGCGGCGCTCGTGCTCCGACACGCCGGCGTCTTGTGGAAAAACGAACCTATCGGATTGGATATGACCCCTGCTCTGCCCTCATGCCCCCGTATATCCCCTTCTGTGCTCTCTCTCTCTCTCTCTCTCTCTCTCTCTCTCTCCATCGCTTGACTCTCCTGCTCCCTGCCGCCGGCTTGGCCCAAGCCAGCTTGGGACATATTGGTTCTGGCTGGCAGGACTGGAAAAGCTGGCTCGCCCTCTCCTCGAGCCCTGCGGGCTCCGCCGCCGACCCCAGCTGCGGGATCGGGAGGTCTAGAGTGGGCCCCAACCCGGTTCCGCAGTGGTAGCGGAGCCCGCCGCCGCGCGGGCGCCATCGGCCGAGGGCGAAATCAAGATCTACGTGGTGAGTTTCAGTGCGGGGTGAATGCTGGATATCGGGAACTACCTGGACGTGTGCACAGAGTGCGACGACGGCAGCGATGCGGCCAGCATCAGCTCCAGAGCGCTATCCGGCGATGGTTGAGGGCACGCTCTCACCGGACGCGCTGCCTCCGCGGCCGAGCGGAGGCAGAGGGGAAGACGAAAGCCCAGAACATATCAGGAAAAGATTGGGAATCCTGGGATTTGTGTCGATTTATTTGTGTGTCCCAGGGCCCCTTTCCCGGCGCTGGACATCTATCGGGTTGGGGATCGACTCCAGAATTGATTTACTCCACAATCTACATGCCCGTCGGATCTGCAACATATGCGTAGAATGCCCGTAGGTCTACGAACAGTACACGTACGATGTTACACATCCGACGATGTAATGCTGACGTAATCCGACGAATCAGTTCACACATCCGACGAAACATGCTTCACATCCGATGTAATATGTTACATATCCGACGAGCATCTACGAAGGGGTCGAGACTGGGGGTGGGGGCGGGTTTTCTCCATTCCTGGGACCGAAAAACCACACCCACCCCCAGTCTCGACCCCCTGGATCGCGGGTTCGGGGATGGGGTCGGGGTGGGTTTTCGCTTTCTCAACAAGACGTGCGGGCGAGCATTGCGCTTCCCCGAACAGCATTGGGCAATCGCTGCGGGTGGAGGCGCTCGTTGGTGAAAGTGCCCAGGGGGCCTCCGAACTTGCAGGATTGCTTCTCTGATGAGGGCGGCGGTGGCATCCACGGCAAAGCCTCACGAGTCATTTGTTTGTTCCGCACGCTTTCAGAACACGGACTCCTCAGTCATGGGTTCCTCATCCAATGCTTTCACTGTAAAACAGAAATCGATTAGACGTAAGAGTGACCTTTCGCTGGAGTGACCTTTGGCGCGGGCACAGATGGGCCCCCAGATGGCTGAAAACGAAGCAGGAGCAGCGGCCTGCGCGCCCAGGTTTGGTCCTCCCGCGGCCTCCAAAATGCCGCGCACCAAAGGTCACTCTTACCCAGGGTCACTCTTGCGTGTAGCCGAAGGTAGGAGGTCAGTCCTTTTCGAAACGGGGTCCCCGCTTGAGGTTCCCCGGCGACTGCAACCAGAAGTGCAGGTCGCGTTGCAGCAACACGGGTGGAGGGCGGCTCCTTGTCAAAACGGGGTTCTCGTGGAATTTGTTTTTAATCCTAGGAGGATGAGGAATTTCAATCTCCTCCTCCTCCTCCTCCTCCTCCTCCTCCTTGTCAAAACGGGGTTCTCGAACCCCGCGCAGCAGGAAGGACGCAGCGCAGCTCCTCTTCAGAGCGGGACTCCCGCCCGAATGGCATGCCCGTGTGGCGCTCGCATTTCCGGGGGTTGCTCGTGCAGCAGTGGACAGGAATCCCTGCGAGCATTTAGGAGGGGACTTGGAACGGAGGGGGGGGGTGGTAGGGCAAGCATGGGGGTCGCATGCCTGTAGGTACCGACTCAATGTTCTTCCTCCGCCCACCCCCCACACCCCCCTCCTCACCCCGCCCCGCCCCTCCCTCATCCCCCCCTCCCCCTCCCCCTCTCCCTCCATCCCTCCCCCTCCTACCTCCCACATCCCCCACCCCTCTCCCTTCTCCTCCCTCCCTCCCGCTCCTCCTCCTCCTCCTCCTCCTCCTCCTCCTCCTCGTCATCCTCATCCTCATCCTCCTCCTCCTCCTCCTCCACCTCCTCCTCCGCCTCTCCTCCTCCTCCTCCTCCTCCTCCTCCTCCTCCTCCTCCTCCTCCTCCTCCTCCTCCTCCTGCGCCGGTTTGTACCCTACCTGTCAACCGCCTCGGTAGTGTGGCGTTCCGCTGCGCGCTGCAATCCTCTTCAGCTGTCCACAGGCTCCTCCTACTCCTCTTGCTCCTCCTCCTCCAGTTCCTCCTCCTCATCGTTCGTCTTCCTCCTGCTGTTTCGCTCCCTCCGCTTCGGGAAACAAGAAGGTACCGATACCGCTACTCCCCAGACCACTCCTGGGGTGCGTTCTGACCAGGATTTCGAGGCACATCCAGCCGTTGTTGCGACGGACGCGCGTAGCGGTATCAGTACTTCTGACTACCTCCTCCTCATACTTCGTGGCTTGTTTCTCTTGTTCCTCCCCAGACACCCGGCGTAATAATGTTGTTTATTGTCGAGCCCTACAGGTCTCTTAGCTTTTACTTTGCGGCCCCGGGGTCTGGCGAGGCGCCAAGCACCCTCCGCCATGATTTTTGCTCGAGACGAGGGGATTCGGCGGCTTGCCTGGGAGGAAGTGCACAGGTCGGGGGCGGCCAAGAGGGGGGTGATGACTTAGGGGGAGGGGGATATCATGGCGTCGGCCATGACATTTCCCAGCTTTCATGGCGCCACCTCTTATTTCATTGCGTCCATGGCTCCCCCCCCCCCGGCCGCGCACGTGCCGTGCCCCCCTCTTGGCCGCTCCCGAACAGGGGCTGGCCTTCTCAGAAGACGGCGGGGCTTCTCAGAAGCCCTCGCGCCTTCTGAGAAGGTGCCCTGTGCCTTCGGCGAAGGCTCAGGAAACTCCTCGGAAGGCCCGAGGCCCTCCTAGCCTTTGAGAAGGCCCGCCCCCCCTCTCTCTTCCCCCCCGGCTCGCCGCCGAGGAAGGGGTGAGCATCGCACGCAGAGTGCGCCCAGTCCATGCTCCTCCACACTCCTCCCCCCTTTCCTCGTCCCGCTCCCGATCGTTCCACCTTCCTCGTTCCTCCTCGTCCTCGTTCATCCTCGTTCCTCCTCGTTCCTTCTCGTTCCTTCTCTTTCCTCCTCGTTCCTCCTCGTCCTGAGTCCTCCTTAATTCTCGAAAAGCGGCTCTTTCTCCTACCAGAACTTCAATGGGAGTTCAGCCGTGGCCACGAGAAGCGCCGAAGAGCATCTGACCTCCCTCCTCCTCCCTCCTCGCTTCTCCCTCCTCCTCCCTCCTCCCTCCTACTCCATCCTCCTCCCTCCTCGCTCCTCGTCGCCCCTTCCCCCGCGGGCTGGCCGCCTGAGGATGCCAGGGTCCTCCTCCTCCTCCTCCTCCTCCGCAGCCCCGGCTCGCGCGCGCGGGGGGCGTTACGTTGCATCTTCGGGGGACCTCGCCTGTCCCCAATAATCGGTGTCTCTTCCTGTGCCCGACGCGGAGTTGGCGTGGATCCTATGCGGATTCGACGCGGGTTCGGCACGGATCCAACGAATCCGACATGAATTCGAAACGGACTCGACGCGGACGGCGCCGCGACGGGACAGAAAAAGGTCAGGAGGGGAAAAGCACACACAGACAAAATGAACCGTCCATTCCCAGGAGAATATGGGAAAATATGGGAGGTGGGGGGGGGAAGACAAAAACCCACAACATATGGGAAAATATATAGGGGATCCTGTTGTTTGTGCCTACTTATCTCTGTGTCCCAGGGCCCCTTCAAGAGGCCCCCCGAGGGGGAGGGTGGGGTTCACTTCGCTCGGGAGCTCCCGAACGAAGCGAACCCCACCCTCCCCCCTAGGAACTCGTGGGGGGTAGGGGTCAGGGTTCGCGTGTGGCCCCTTCAAGAGGCCCCCCCGAGGGTGCAACGTCCTACGGGGCGGCGGCAGCGCGAGCGCGCGGCGGGCGAGCATGCCGCTCGGCGGCGCGCGCTCGCTGCCGGCGCTGCCGGGGTGCGGGAGCGCGGACGGGGCGCCGGAGGCGCCGCGGGGCTCGAGCCCGGGAGGCAGGCATTTTCGGGGGCGGGCAGGCCTCCTACCCTCAGGAGGGAAAAAAACACACAGACACAATTAATCGTCGATTCCCCAGAAAATATGGGAAAATATGGGAAGTGGGGGGGAAGACAAAAACCCAGAAAATATGGAAAAATATAGGGAATATTTTCATTTGTGTGTATTTATTTGTGTGTCCCATGGCCCCTTCATACCCAGACACGTCGATTAGCTTGGCATCGCTCGGACGTGTGCATTTTTCCTTCGGCGAGGGCCATCGAGGAACATCCTTGACCATTTGGGGAAAAAAACCACGCACGAAACCGAAGAAGCACAAAAAATGGACGTCCGAGCGATGGCGAGTTAGTGAATTGGCCGTTTTCGGTTCGCGAGAGGGCGTCGCGGCCGCCATTTTTGCGGGTCCAGGTCCGTCGGTTTCGGTCCCAGGCCGTTGTCACTGAATCTCTGACTCTGACTCTGACTGGTGGCGAGGCCCGCGCGTGGGGGCCAAGTCCTCAAAGAGAAAAAACGACGACGACAACGACAGACACGACGACGACACGATTGCGGTGAAACGGCACTCCTGCAGCAGCGGCGGGCGCCGCAGAACCTGGGAATGAGCCAGGATTGTGGCAACTTGAAACAGTCGCCCGGCACGCACTCGTGGCAATCTAAACGGTCGCCTGGCGAGGGCCCGTGGACATTCACAAATTGTTTGCCCCAAGGGTGGGGCAAACATTCGGTGAACGATGGGATCGGTGGGGGGCCTGTGGATTGGCAGCCAAAAAGCAGCAAAAACCCACGGAGACAGGACCCCTACCGAGCCATATAATACATTAGTATAGGCATATTCAAATAACGGGGGTCCACGTCTATGGGAGGCCCGTACTCGCTGAGATCATCAAAGACCTGAGGAACAGGGACATGCACCCCCCCTATGTTAGCACCTGTACGGGGGTCCCGTCCGTTCATTAGCTTATCTAGCCTACGTTTGGTAATATCGGCCATGGATTTTCCACCACGGCAGCCCTGCTGCAACTTATGAATATTAGTCGCACTGTATGCACCGCAGGCGCGGCATTAGCTTATCTAGCCTACGTTTGGTAATATCGGCCATGGATTTTCCACCACGGCAGCCCTGCTGCAACTTATGAATATTAGTCGCACTGTATGCACCGCAGGCGCGGCAGAACACATAAGGGCCACATGCTCTGATCACGTGACCGTGCCCCTCTGGGGCTTGACATTCGGCACTGGACAGGGCAAACTTGTCCTGACTGGAGGCCCAGCAGGCTGCACAGCGGTACCTCGAAGTTCTCGGGCCCCAGACCACTTGGTGGCCGATCCCCACAGGAGGAGCCCCAACATGCAGCCCAGGAGCAGGAAAGCCCAAGGGAGGGGGGACTGGGTTGGGACCCTTTTCGAATAACTTCAAGGCATTAGACACTACATATGCAATAAACTTGGCGAGAACTGTAACAGTAGTACTGCTACGCTTAATGCGCGTCAGAGCTGCTTCGTCGACAGTGTGTAGAGCAGCTCCACGTTTGGCATACATGTCTGCGACAGCATTTGCACGCGTACACCAGACAGGCTGTTGCTCAGCTTCTTCTGATAGGTGGGCTTTTACCTTGTGGACGTGGATGTGCTCGTACCCAATGTCCCTAGCCTTCTCGTGGATTGCACGCCATAGGTCAGCATGCACAGCCATGCCAGAACCAGATGCAGACTCAGGAAGAGCAAACGTATCAACAACCCACTGGCAATCAGAATAATAATGATACCCTTGATCATCCCCAGGGGCACTGTGTTGAAGATAAACCAGGAATGCGAACGTTTCTGCGCCTGGAACATCTTGGACGAGACGGGGATATACACCATAGGCAATTGTAATAGGATGCCCCAGCCTATTGACAGACGCCACAGAAAAACCACACCTGATGGTACGGGGCGAAGGCCCATGCAAGCCTGAGCCATCCCCGAAAGCAGGGGATACGAAAACATGCCCCTGAACCCCCACCTTCGCCCACTCCAGCTCCAAGCCGGTGGAGGGAGGGGGGAGGAGCCGCTCTGGGTCTGGGACAAGGGCAGTGTACCAGACTGGGTCATGGGGGTGGGCGGTTTTTACCCTTTGCATGTGCTCCGGGAGTCCGAAACCTCTCCGGAAAGTGTACGTGGCAGGACAATCCCAGATCAGATGATGAGTAGCCTCTCGAAGATCCAAAGAAACGTGTTGACACAAGGAACAGCATAAACGTAAATGTAACGCTCCAGCGAGAACTGCTGTTAAAGCCGTGGTCTGACTCTGAGTCCAACCTGCAACGTCACCTTTCAAGATGGTCTGGATGGGGTTGAGAAACGGAGCCCCCACAAGATGTTGCATGAGAGGATGCTGTGGTGCCGATTGGCGCCATGCCCAAAGTTCAGCATCACGTGCGACCAGGGTTTCAATGTCCCTGGGAGCGACTTCAGAAATGTCGACGGTGGCGCCCGCGGCGGTCTTCCACTTCACAGGAGTCTCGACGGTCCAGCCAAGCCGTAGTAATGTGGCAACGACGGCAGAAGCAGGCCATACAAATCGTGCCACTGAGTACTCGAAGTGACATGTCGCCGCGCCCAGTCAAGAGCTTCATCAAGCATCGTGTCTGGCAAGACGCGGTCCCAGCGACATGCACACCACATGACAATGACGTCGGTATGTCCAGGTACTGCTGGATGTACTACCCGATCAAGCGCCATATCCATTGTGATGGAACGGTGAGGCCTACCAGACATTGCTGTGTGATAGTGCTTACGTACTTCGTGTATGTGCGCGGCCGGTATACCAGTGACGCGTGTACCATACATAGCCACTGGCTTCACAGAGGCAGCCACGAGACGATGAACACGACCACCTGCTTTGCGAAGTTGCGCAATTCTCTGAGCTCTCTGGCTGGACAACTTCAAGCGATGCTTACGAACGGCACGGACTAGGCCTTTGCGAGGACGATGCGTGTAATCGACACCCAAGTTTTTAGTGATATCCCGTGGTGCATTCATCAATGCTGGGACCTCTTCGACGATAGTCTTGGTGACATCGGGGTTTGACGAAAGCAAAGCCAGCTTGGGGAGAGATAGCGGCAAGTGCGAATCGCGCAGCTTCTCCATGAGCGTGCTGGCGATCTTCGGCATCCACTCCAAAACGAAACGGGTTGTGCCAATGATTGTACATTGGATGTCGTCCGCAACGACGCCGTAAAACACAAACCGGTATAACTCCTGCTCCAGATCGATGACAGGCACGATCATGCATCTCATGAGAAGGTCAGCAAAACCACATCCTGCGACAATCGTCTGGGTCGCAAAGACTATAACGCCCGGGATGCCCATGGAAGTGACAATGCGCGGACCCCGATAAAGATTGAGCAAGTATCGAAGTATCACGTGATTGAATCCAAGGGCAAGGGCGCGAGTGGCAAGGATGTGATGGAGCACGTTTTCAAACGCTTTGCATATATCTAGAAGGAGACTGCACGAGTCCCAGCCTCTGGCATGGGCGAGCTCAGCTAGAACAGAATGTTGCCACACACACCTGAGACAAGACTTCCCAGCAGAACCAAAAACGTAACTGCGGGTAACCTTGGACTCCCAAAGCCTGCCCCAAGATCGACGAAACCAACGGGTGAAAAGCCGGACGTTGGTAGTGAATACTGCTACTGGTCGGTCTCCAGAGTTGGCCGGGATAAGGGCCATCAGGATGATTGCAAGAACTTGCGGCGTCTTGCCCAGGAACAACATAGCACGCCAGAGAACAATAAGTGCCTGAAGAGCGTGGTCTGACAGGTACTGGTAATGTAAAGGATGCATCCAATCGGCACCAACTGCCGTCTTAGCCTTGTAGCTGCGCGATAGTTTGCGTAACTGCGAGGGCGCAGGGAAAGATAGTGCCAGGATATCCTCAGAGGTAACTGGTGGTAGGCCGGGCGGAAGATAAGATTCGCCAACGCCCCATTTCACGTGCCAGAACTTCTCGCGACAATACACATGATGCATGGGAGACCCAAGAGGTGCATCAGGACGAACTGGGCTGTCTTCATCAACTTCAAAAGTTTTCCAATGGTCACGGCCTCTGATAAAGCGGTAGGCCGCAGAAGAGCCCTTCGCAGATTCTGCTACCGCCCATTCGCACCATGACTGATACCGAAGCTTGGAATTGTACCGTTCCTGCTCGAGGGCCATCTGCTCGAGCTGTTCTGCCAGAGTTTCGATCTGCTGAGGCGTGGCGACAGGAAGATGGAATGTCTGCTCCTTCCACCATGGCCATTCGTGGGGTAAAGAACCTTCACGCGTGTTAGGGTAGTACCGACGTGTTCGGCACGCTGAGAAAAATGCATTTCGATCGAGACCACGGCGTCTGAGCGACAGTAGAAGCCTGAGGCGTGTCTCAAGATAACGCCAAAGACGCCCATGAAAAGACGTGGAAGGGAAACCTCGACATTTCGACGAAGCTGGGAGCAGGAAGGTGGAGTAGGGTTGGGCCCACTTGGAAGCAAGGCCAGGGTCTTTCTGATGCACCGCCAGAAGCTCTGCGGCAGACTTCTGGATCCACTGTACTGTGGCCTGTTCAAGACTGTGTTCATCATGCGGATTGTCAGGAAAATCTTCCCACGGATTGCCCTCGGGCACTCGGCGACAACCAATCGGCGGTTCCACAGGGAGGGCAGGGGGCTTCCTGATAACGCGCACCATTCGGTGGTGGAAGTCTGCAGAGACGTTCAGCACGACAGGAGAATGCTTAGAGATAGTATCAGTATCTACCACCGTACAAGTACAATCGTCTGCAAATAAACGATGAACAAGAAAAAAGTCAATGCATGATGATGTGTCTCCGCTAACATACGTTGCAGAAGAAGGCGCAATGACAGCGGCGTGCACTAGATCAGGCCATCCAGTGTCTATCAAATCCTGCGGGGACATCTGCCAGTCGCCTCCTATGATGAAAGGAGTGCC